TGCAACCCTCATTCTCTCCTCAGCATCAGGGAATTATGACAGTCATAATGCTACAGGACATGATTTTCAGAAGGACTGAGTGCCCCACACTCAAAAAACGTCACGGGAGATTCAGAGGCTCAGCGCCTCTGAAAATCAGGCCTGCAGGGATGCTTTCAAGCTTTGTAGTGTAGTTGAAAGAGGCAGAAGCTGTAGCAAGCAGCACATGGCAAGATAAGTGAATATTTCATTATCTAAGTGCACTACAAACTATTAGCATTATCCACATACAAAAACCTGTTTTAACTAGCGAGCAAATGCAGTTCCTGCTAGAGGCTTAGGGTCAGACCTAGTGCTGTATTTGGGATCAGCAAGGAATTTTACCCCATGGTCAAACTGGTACAGACTGTGGGGGGTTTGCATACCTGGGATCCCTACCTGGGATCACTTGAGAGTATATTAATAACATTGGCTGCTGTGGTCTCCCTGCTTTACTTGTGACAGGTTAGGGTGTTATTTCATGTGTTGTATCAGGGCTGATGGTAGTTTTACTAAGAGCTTAGATTATGAATTTGTACAGGATGGTTTAGATAGGAATGATCCAGTAGGAGCTGGACAAGATGACCTTTGGAGGTCCCTTCCCACCCTACTTCTCTATAATTTCTATGGCCTATCAATCCGGTGTTTTAAGGATATGAATGTGCTCTGCTTACCTGACAAGGCCAATCTCTCCTCCCCTATTGTTTTTTGGAGCTGCCTAATTTCAAAGTCCCTCTCCTTCACCAGTTTGTACAGTCTGCCGTTTTCATCTGTGACCTCTCGAAGGTGGTCATGAAGCTGTTCAATTTCATCCTCAAGCAACCTAGAAAACACACCGGCAATTACAGCCTAGGCCATGAGAGGCGTTTCAAATACATACTTGTAACAGCGGTAGTAAGTTGACTCCCGAGAGAAACTGCGCTTTATGAATTATGGTTACAATGGATGAGTGAGCTGAGTGAAATGTTCTGAACATCAGACCAAATAATGAGCTGATGTTCAGAGATGTAATCTATTATGTTAACTTCTTCCTTCCATTTGCAAAAATGTACACAGCTCCTGGCTTTGATTAGGAGAGTAGGTGGAAATGCCACGTGTAAAGGGAGCTCTGCTGGGCATCCGGAGGCTACTGAGTTGACTGTTCCCTACATAAAAGGCCACGCAGGTTCACATTGCAGCATGTTGGACATGCCACGCTCTCTTTTCTCTACCTACTCACCAGAAATTTCCATTTTGTTAGGTCTCATCTCTGCCTCTCTTTTACATTGGCTACATGCCAGGGCATTAAAATAAACTACAAAACCTGCCACCCAAATTCTGTATGCTCATCTAAAGTTCATACTCAAAGTCTATGAACAATTTCTGTGTCCTCATCCAGCTTCCTTGGATTCACCCAAGGATGGATGTAAAGAAATTAGTACCGACTATGAATGTTACGTTCTGGAATTTAAATAAAACAAAGAGGAACACAAATTACCATGAATAGGGAGGGACAATGTTGTTCTCACGATTCTTCAATATACTTTTGTGAGTCTCATTCAGAAAATAACTTGATTTTAGCAACTTTAATACACACAAGAAAAGTTCCACACAAAAGTTTGCTCCTGAATGAAAATTAAGTTTTCTCTCTGCAAAAAGTGGTGGGATGTCTGCCCAAATTGGACTTCTATTTTTTTGAAATACATTGTAAAAGTAATGAATCACTGGAATGACTGGCATATAAAATCCCACTGAAGAAAAGATTCAAAACACACAGGATTAAGAGGTGTGTTCCTATTGTCAGTTCTCAAATCAAATGAGTTCAAACCTGCTTTAGGATTTAAAAAGAAAAGCAAAAAATGTAGCAGCAGTGAAAAGTGTCGTCCCCACATTCATATATAATCCCACATAGAGCAACATAGTGCAAATTTAATTCAGACATAAACTTGTACTTAAAATGCATTATAGAGAGACAATCCAAACTCTAACGCACCCATTTTGACTTTTCACCAGTTTTCTTCAGAACTAGTTTCCAAAACGTGACCAGTATCAGTTTTCATGGAAGTGGATTAAAGTCCTAATAGTACGTGGAATAGGTTTTCATCTGCAATACCTGCATTGTATCAGGCTCTACATTTATCAAATTTGAAAATAAACTAAGGAAAAAGGAAGGAGGAGCAGAGGTCAGCTCTGGAGAGGTAGCCAAAAGACATGGGTTTTATGTACAAAATTAAAGGCAGAGAAGATGTTCTGAGAAGAAGAATGACCTAGGATGGACTTGTGATGAAGGTCCTGACAAAGACTCAAGCTATATTTAAGCTCAGGGTGCAAGAGATGAATAAAGGTTAGCAGAAGGATGACAAGTTAAGCAGTATGTCCTAACCAAGACAAACCTAATTTAAAGGACAGGATGGAGAGAGCAGAATAAACAGAGAGTGTGTGTAGGTGGGTGGTGACTTTTGAGCTTGAGGGAATGCTTTCAAAGGGCTATTATGAACAAGCCTGGCTTGCAGCAAATTGAACAACTACTGATCGCTTTGAGCCCTGACAGTCTGGAAAAAACATACACATTGTTCAATTCTTTTCCTGGACAAAGCTGTACCAGCTCTGGTTACTACATACATAGTATACATGAGACACAGAATACAAAGAGGAAAGAGAACTCAGATGAATCAGGAATCTAATTCTCATACACATCTCAGATTAACTGTGATGTGTTAGTAGGAAAATAGGTAAATAACAGGTTTTGAATTTATCAGACCCACATTTCCAGAATCAGAAGTGGTCTAGGGAAATCAGACTCCCCAGCCACTTCTTAACCTTGGGATTAGAAAAGCCTACACACATATACAGAATATGCACTTAGAGGGTACATCTACACGTGCATATTGATGCGAAGAAATAACCTCTGGAGCTTATTGCTCCAGAGTTTATTGCTCTTGGGTGTGCCATTTGCACATACACCTGGGACCACAGCACATTGAGCTGGATCAAAGTAGCTGCAGCTGGCAGGGAGCTCCGGGGGTCAGCTTGCCAGCCCATGGCTGCTCCCCGCTGGGTCAACGTACTGTGGAGGGGCTGGCTGGGGCATAAGGGTGCTTCAGCATGGGGCTAGTTGGCAGGCAGCCCCTGCACTGAAACACCCTCATGCCCCAGCCAGCCACGGCAGCGTCTAACGTGCATCAGACGTGCGGCGTTTTTTATTAGTATTTACAAGTACTATCCTGCTGCAGAGTAAATTAATTTACTCCATCTTAATACGGATGCACATGTCAATGCGTGACATTTACTGTCCAGGTAATTAGTCTACCATGCAGCAAACCTCTCGTAGATACACCCATGTATGCTTAATGTAAGCAGCATTTAAGTACATTGTAGTCACTGTTGTGGTATTAGGAGCATCAACACTGACCAGTGCCCATCATTTTGGTGCTTCTAATAGTATCAGTGTGTCATAGATTTCATAGACATTTGGGCTAGAAGGGACCCCGGAGGATCATCGAGTCTAGCTCCCTGCCCCAAGGGCAGGAAGTCAGCAGAGGTCATAGGATCCCAGCAAGATAAGCATCCAGCCTCCGGCGGCAGTTTATTCCAAACCTTGGGGGTTCGGACAGTGAAGAAGTTCTTCCTTATGTCCAGCCTGAATCAGTCACGGTGGAGTTTGTGACCGTTCGATCTTGTCATCCCTTGGGGGGCTCTGGTGAACAGACCTTCCCCCAGATCCTGATGAGCACCCCTGATAAACTTATAGGTGGCCACCAGATCACCCCTGAGCCTGCGCTTTTCCAGGCTAAAGAGCCCCATGGCTCTCAGCCTGTCACCATAAGGTCTGTTTTCCTGACCTCTGATCATGCATGTGGCTCTTCTCTGCACTCTCTCAAGCTTTTTCACATCCTTTTTAAATTGTGGAGCCCAAAACTGGATGCAGAACTCCAGCTGCGGCCTCACCAAGGCCGAGTACAAGGGGAGAATGACATCCCGGGATTTGCTTGAGAAGCATCTATGGAGGCAAGCCAGCGTTTTGGTCACTTTACTAGCTTCACCATCGCATTGAAGGCTCATGTTCATCTTGTGGTCAATCATGACCCCCAAGCCCCTTTCATCTGTAGTGCTAGCCAGTGTAGCACTGCTAAGCCTATGAGGATGCTGCAGGTTTTTCCTCCCAAGGTGGAGAACCTTGCATTTTTCACTGTTAAACACCATAAGGTTCTCATCTGCCCATTTCCTGAGCCTGTCAAGATCTGCCTGGATCACCCTCCTGTCCTCAGGTGTGGATGCTTTACCCCAGAGTTTGGTGTCGTCGGCAAACTTGGCCAGTCTGCTTCTGACACCAAAGTCCACATCATTGATGAAGATGTTAAATAGTATAGGCCCTAGGACAGAGCCTGGAGGGACCCCACTGGTGACCGGAAGCAATTAATCCATTCCAAGACAGGTCCATTTATACCTGGCTACAGCTGTTTGATTATCAGTGGTTTTAGACCCAACATCATTGCAGACATCAAGGTTCAGTGAGCCTGGACTTAGAGGATTGTTTCTAGAGAATTGCTATAAACAGCCTTAAAAAAATGCAGAGAGACTGAGTTTCAGGACTGCTCTCCCCTTATTTTCAAAGCTTCTAATGGCAGCCAAGAGGCCAACTAGCTCCCAAACACTTCAAGACTTTTAATTACAGGCCTTTTGATTGTTGTTTCTTTTCACCATTGCTGATGCCAATACTGCACAGTTAAACAGATCCCAGTTACATGTCACTTAATAGATCCTGAAGATAACTGGTTTATTTCAATGTAGCCAAGAGGCAAAAAACTGGGACTGTCATTGTGTGGGGCAGCTACAAGTGGGTATGTTGAAGTCAACGGCAGTTTTGTAAGGCTACTTTTTTGGGTTCAACCATTTACCTTTTGCTGTTGTCTTCATCTGATATCTTCAGTCCATCTACCGTAAACAGATCTAGATCATCCTGGACTCCAAATGTCTCCTGCGGGCTGTTCTTGTTGCCCTTGTGACTGTGCTTCTTTTCCTTCTTTTTCTCCATCAGATTTTGCAACCTCTTCTGCTGCAGCTCCTGTAGAGCCTTAAACTGGAGCTTTAAATGTTCATTCACTCCTTTATCCGACTCCATTGGTTACTAAAAGCAAAACAAGGGGGAGAAAAATTTCTCAGGGTTATAGAGTGGCAGCATGTTTAAAATTAGCTTCCTCCGAAGGCCCCAATATGCCCTTTTTTCACTTCTGCAATTTGGTATATGCCACCTTTTCCCTGATGCTCTCCTATTCATCCAAACTCACCTCCTTCAAATGTTTTTGGGGTTTTTTTTACCAAAAGGGCCTACAAATGTGTCTTTGCCACTAGTAAGAGGCCTCAAGTTTAAGAAAAATAATAACTAAATCACATCAAGTCAAATCAGTCCCAAGGCCACTGTAGCCACTGGGACACCTTAGGTGCTGTAACTAAATCATTTAAAGAGAAAATCCAAACAACCCAAATCAGGGTACTAACAAGAGTGTACTAGATTTTGGCTTCCTTTAAAAGCACAGGAACTGCCATATGGCAGCAAACTCCGAGTTTAGCTGCTCCAGTATCCTGCTGCCAGCAGAGACTTATCATCAGATGCTTCAGGGTGGAGGCACAAGAAACTCAAATTGGGCAATGTGCAATAACTGGCCCTCCATGATCGCCTAATTACTAGGGATGGGAAGACCCTGGAGACCTCAGGCATGGCATTTAATCTCTTCCAAAATCCCTTTGCACTGACTGCTATAACTAGATATTCTTGCCTCCCATATAAATGCCTGGTCCCTTTTGAGATTTTGCTATGTTTTTGGCCTTGGCTTTGGCTTCTTTCCATCATCCTTCCTTTGTCTGACATCCCTCTGGGATGCAACCAGGGCTCGTGGTAGAGGTGACATCTTTTATTAGACCAATAAGATTTTTGGAAAAACATTTTCTTTAATGGCAAGCTTTTGGGCACAAACACCCTTCATCTGGGATGCCAACTCTTCTGGCAGCATAATCCTAACAGTCTGTAAAGTCCTTGGAACACAACTGGCCTGATATAAATAATCAATAATATTAACGTCCAAAGTCGTGGTCTCAGAAGAGTAAATAACACACGTACTTTTCTCTCAGACCACAGCACTATAGAAACATAGGAAAATAAGGCTGGTAAGGACCTGGAGGTCGCACCTAGTCCCATCCCTGCCTGAGGTGGAAACATCCCTATCCAAACCATCCCATACACATCCTTGTTTAACCTATTACTAAAATGACACTAGGGATAGCACCCTACCCTGCCACAGGTAAAGCAGGGGGACAACAGTGGTCAGCGTCCTGCTGCCGCAAGGGTTAAGTGTGCTGGAAAGGAAGAGGGCCAGGCCCCCCACTACAGAGGAGGGCAAAACCCCTCAGTCCATACCATGGGGTAAAAAAATCCCGTCCTGGCCCCAATTATGGCAAAGGGATCCGGAGAACCAGGAACCTCTCAGTATCGTTCCCTTTTTTTTTTTTCCTTTTGATTGCAATTTTAAAACATAGCACTGGCTTCTCCCTGGCCTCACGTTCAGTCACCACATTCAAACTCCCATCCAAAAAAATGGGCACAGATCGCTCCATTGGCAGCCTGAGCCACATCCTCATCGATGCGTGACTCCCCGCGAAGATTTCAGCTGCGGGGGCTCAAGATGCTGGCTGGGGGCTTGCACTTGACTGCTTAGAGCGAGTCTTCCCTGTGCAAAGACCCAGGAAAGACCCCGGTACGGCAAGATAGTTCGACGCTGCGGATACTTATGGGAAATCTCTGGGTCTGGCTTGGGAATTGCACGCAGGGGCTGATGCTAACACCCCTCCCCCCCTGCCCTGCCTTCTGTCATCTGATCTCTTGATTTCTGTGGCTCCCAAACTTCGTCAACCTGGGGGCAGTGGGTGATGGATTTGAGCCCCCCTCCCACCAACATGAGACCTCCCTTAAAAAAACCCAGGGCCTTGCTTTTGCTGGGTTTTTTTCCTGCAGGGCTTTGTCTAAAAACCTCCAAGGATGGAGATCCCACCACCTCTCTGGGGAACCTGTCCCCGGTGCTTTACTACCCTCCTAGGGAGGAAGTTTTTTCATATATCTAACCTCAACTTTCCTAATATTTAACCTAAATCTAAACAAATATGACATTTTACCCTCAGTGGGGCGGGGGGGCAGCTTTTTAATTAGAGCAGCTCCGAGAGCCGTTCTAATTAAAGTGCCGCAGCATCTCGTGTATCAGCGACCCCGCGCCTCACAATGGTGGCCGGGGCGCTTGAGCTAACGCTCGTTTGACAAAGGTTAAGGAAAGCCTTCCCACCCCCCCAGGCCTGCTGCCAGCTTGAAGCTGGGGGACGCCGTGCCCGAGACGCGGAGGCAATTCCTGCGCTCCAGCAGACTTGACCACCCGAGTCAGCGCCGACGTGTGGTCACGGCACGTGGGACCCCTCGCGCCGCTCGGGCCAGAGACGGTCCTGCCACGTCCCCGGCCGCTTGCTCTTCGCTCCTGAGCACCGTGCAAGCCCGGCTTGCTTTTTCTTTTCTTTTTATCCTGATTCTTTTATTATTCTTAGTATTTAATTTAATTTAATGCAAGTTCTGCTTTTTCTTTTCTTTTTATTCTTCTTCTTTACTTTAATTCAGTGTAAGCCCAGCTTGCTTTTTCTTTTTTTTTCTTTCATTATTCTTATTATTTAATTTAATGTAATTTAATGCAAGCCTGGCTTGCTTTTTCTTTTCATTCTTTTTCATTATTCTTATTGTTTAATTTAATTGAATGCAAGCCCAGCTTGCTTTTTCTTCTCTTTTTTAAATTCTTTTTCTTTCCTTATTACTTAATGTAATGTAATTTAACGCAAACCCAGCTTGCTTTTTCTTTTCTTTTTTAATTCTTTTTCTTTCCTTATTATTTAATTTAATGTAACTTAATGCAAGCCCAGCTTGCTTTTTCTTCTCTTTTTTTTCAATTCTTTTTTCATGATTCTTATTATTTAATTCAATTTAATTTAATGCAAGCCTGGCTTGCTTTTTCTTTTCGTTTTATTCCTTTTGTTATGCTTTCATTATTCTTATCTTATTGTTTAACTATTTGATTATTTATTTATTTATTTATTTGCACAAATTTCTATACTCATTTTAGGGTTGGGGTCCCCTGCAACCACCCCCGTACCCCCCGCCCCCAGGTGCTGCAGTCAGTCTGCAAGGTGCACCCCTCCGCACTCACCCGGCTCCGTGCCGCAGGCCCCGCCCCTCCCAGCCTGGAGCAGGACGCGGTTGCCGCGGCAACCATCTCCACGGCGACGACTTCCGGGGCCCTGCGCTTGGGGCTGGCCGGAAAGCAAGGCGGGGGCTTTACGACAGCTGCTGGAAGTGTGGGGGTTTGCGGGAAAGAGGGGCTTTTGCAGCTGGTGTAGAGCAGGGGTGGGGGGGGAAAACAGGAGCAGGAGGGGGGATGGGATAAATGCCCCCCGCCCCTCCCCCACACACACTGCGGGGTGTGGGAAAGGGCAGAGCCCTTTTTCTGCATGCTAGAAAATTGGGTGGTGGGGGCGGGGGGGAATATCTGGTGCAACCCCCTTGCTCCCAGCAGGCCCAGGCCCAGCCCCAGCCCCAGCCCCAGCCGGGTTCCCCAGGGCTCCCGCCTCACAGGCAACAAGTGACCCAGCTCCTGCTGGCTTTGAGCCCTGACAGGGGTCAATGCAGTTCAGGATGGAGGGCCCACCTCTGCGGGGGCAGGCATGCATCTGTCCATTTGCACGCATCCCGAAAAGCGTGCGCCCAGCAACTAGCACGTGCAGTGGAGGAAGGTGAAACCACAGGAACAAAACTTTCTTTTTTTAAGTCTGGAGTCAGAACCTGCATTGTCCTGGACAGGGAACAAAACGTCTCTAATTTGGGTGGTCCTGCTATGGGGAACGTGGCTCGTTGTCTCCTAGACATGTGCTAAAAAAAGAGAGATTCGGCTACACCCAAGCCAGCACTGGGCTTCCCTCGCCCCCTTCCTCTACCAGCAACACAAGAAACGGCTTTCCCTGGGCCCAGCTTCCCCACGCAGGCAGAGGGAAGATGCTGCTTTGCTCGCCCTACCTACCACCCTCACATTCAGCTTCCTCTTCAGCAAAAGGGAAGGTCTTTCTGTTGCCAGCATCCCCCCAGTCCCGTGCAAGCCCCGTCGTTTCCCACAGAACAAGGCTCACGCGTGGGGAGGCACACAGTTTATTACGACAGATACCATTAGACAACCGACTGCCCCCGTGGAATGGATGCAAGTTAGAAGGGGAGGGCGTCTACCCATTCATTACACTTGTGCCTTTCCTACCCATGAAGGCACCAGGTTTTAATATAAAAAAAATAATGTAAAATAGTGATTTTGGAGGAAGCACTTCACATCTCAAGGGCGATGGAGGAGCGAGGTCTAAGCCCTCTAGGAGCTGCTGTTAAAAAACTAAAAATTCAAGGAGTCAAGCTGTGTGGTTTAATCCTAAAAAAAAAAAAAAATGCATTGCTCCAGAAGTACAGTTCTAGGTTCCAGGAGAGATGTGTGCAGTGTTGTATCACGCGCCCGGAGCATGGCCATACGCCGTTACAAAACCCATAGTCCTCCAACCCCCAAAAAAGTGCAGTCCGCAGCCTATCCAAATGGGGTTTCTGTGCTTCAGTTTGTTAAGACTGAATAAATACTGTGTTTAAATAGATGTGTCTACTACAAAATGCTCACTTCTGACTTTAAATAACAACTAAAAAAAAAAACCCCCAACAGATGTTATGTCTTTAAAATATGCAAGAGAAGAGTGCCAGAATGACAGCTTCCAGAGACTGAAGTGCTTTTGCCTAAGAGGCAGGAGCAGACAGCAGGAGAAATAGTTTATCATCTTGCTGTCCCCTTAGTGCCTTAGCCCTAAACTGCAGGTCACTCTGCATGCAAGCAGGTAACTCAGTCTCCAAGTTGATTCAAGCCTTGTCCTGTTGGACAAGAGACTCCAGAAGTTGCCAACTCAGTATGTGCATGTGTGGGGTGTGTGTTAGGGGGTAGGGGGAGCAGAGGGGGTGTGCATGGAGGGGGGAAGTGGAAAGGGATTAAGCTCTACAATATCCACTAATAGCTGGCGTATG